GGTGTTATTTCATTACCAACTATCTGACCATGTCTGATCATGTCTCACTGATGCCCTCAAGGGAGACATGGCTCTGCCATATGGTTTAGATTAGTATTCACAATCCCAAGTAGCTGTAGTCATCAGACAAAAGGCTAACATGTTGCTTGCAACAAAGCATCAAAGCCCAGGAGTCTGTCTTGGTGTGGACAACCGGTGTCCGTGACCATCATGTAATGACTGTTACTGCTGTGCACTGGTCGACAGATGAGGCAAGTTACACTTTCACAAACTGAAAAAAAGACCAACAACAGCAAACTTACCTGTCTCCCATAATTTAAAGAATACATGTTTAAAAACAAAACTACTTCTCTCAGCAGTATACATGGATATGCATGTCACAAGTGAGTGATAACAGTTTTCATGTCTACCAATACATCGTGGTACTAGCATGAAAGGCAGCCAGCCACCATGCAGTTTGAAAATGATAAAAAATACTCAGCATAAGATGATGTCGGGATATACATTTTTCACATCATATGGTATGAGATGAATGCAACAAACAGGTTCACCACCAACCATAGGAGACTCAAATCAAAACGAGACCAAAAAAGAGAAGTGGAACAGGGCGGGGCAGTGACATGCGATAACACCACCTCAGATCTCATGACAACACATCCCTCCAAGGTATCTGCTCTGTTTGCTGAGCTCATCGTTGACTGATTCAGCACTGACATGCACCTGCATACTAATATTGGTGGCACCAATCTGTCAGTCTGCCCGCTCTCCCATGGGAAAATACTGTGGGAGCACTACAGGAATGTAGAAGGTTACTGGTATGGCAGTTGTCAGAGCTGCAACACTAAACTCCTTCAGTTGCTTCTAACTACTCAAACCCTGGTGAATCTTCTACAAGGTCACTCTTTTACAGATCAGCTGTGGCACAGAGGCCACTGTAATGCTACCTTAACCACTACTGGGCACCACCGAGTGATACAGGCAGCTGGCTGAAAATGTATTCAGCTTGCCCCAGACATCCACTATTTACCTCATTGTTGTTGAACACAAATCAAGTTTCAGTCAAGGGAAAAGGGGGAAGGTGCTTCCACTTTAATCTCACCCAGGCATCCTGTTCCTGTGCTGGAGGGCAACGCTGCAGAGGCTATATGCAAATACAGCCATTTCAATTTACACCGAGGCTGCACAGAGGAGGCAGGTAGATCCTCTTGTGGCGAAGTTGGCCTTTAGTTTAAAATGAAAACTCCTCACAGTTTTTTTTTTTTTTTTGCAGAAAAGCCAGAGGAGAGGCTGAAGCAGAAAGATGTTTGTTTCTGTGTGAATGTGTGTGTGTGTGTGTGTGTGTGTGTATTTTAACAGTACAGGAGGAGCCTTGACAAAGCCCATTTACAAGATAGCACCTTGGATTGCGTTTGTATTTTCATCCTCCTGACATGACGGTTGGTGATCATTTGTTTGTTAACGAACAGACAGCAGACAGAACATGTTGGGAAGAGACAAGGGGAGAAAGTGGATGATGGTGAGTTGGATGACCGTGGTGGTGTGGTGTTGGGGGGGGGGGGGCCGGTGGATGTGAGGGAGTGGTGTGGACGTGATATTTTCCAACACATCATCCTTACCTCTAATTGGCGTCCCACCTAGGTGGGTGCAATTTCAATGCAAACAGGGTTGAGAGATTAGTTAGCAATCCCCTTAAAACAGTGGGAGAGAAAGACATGGCTTCTGACAGGCCATGGATAAAAGAAAAATAACTAATACAGAGTAGATGGCAATTAAATGCAATGTGACAAAGTTAAGTAGGCTACTTAATCAATGGCATGAAGCAAATATGGGCTGTATGTGTTGTCTGTAAATGACCAAAAACAACACAGCCTTCATCAGGGCAAACATTTTGAAATATAATGCTGCTATTTTTGTATTTGCAGACAACAGCTACAACCTAATTCATCCTTACTTCACATCAGCATTAAAATAGCATGCAATTTAAGTAGCTTATATTAGGCTTTCTAATGTAAGATAACTGACACTCTTTGTACAGACCTCATTTGTGAAGAAAACAGTTAGTAAAATGGGAAAAAGAGATGAATGAAAGTCATACATATTAAATAGAGTGATGCACCGTAAACAGTATTTGGGTCAGCAGTATTAAATTGAATAAAAGTTAGTATCTCTACAGAGTGAATGATTTGGATGTGTGAAAAGATAAACTGAATGAGCCTGTGTGCACACTAAAAATGAAGAGTGATGCAAAATGAGGAACTGCGTCTGCCTTTTCTATGAAGCTGGCAGCAAATGAATGTGCATTTTTCTTCCTGTGCAGAAAATGGCCTCATTCCTGGTCATATTTGTAATGTAATGTAATGTAATGTAAATGGAAATTTAGTATTGTAATAAAAACATGATCAAACAATTAAATTGTTGTATTAATATCTAACAAGTGAGAAATCTGCATCTCATTTGGGTTGTGCTTGTAGAATCACACTGTAATATTACAAGAACATGGACAGTCCAAGTGAATACGCTCCAAAGACCCGTATTCGGCTTCTACTGGGCAGCTTTAGTGTTAGGCTTTTTGTGGAGTAGCACTCATCTTTAATCTTTGGGGTCTCAAACCTGCAGCTTGGGCTGACACCCTCTCTAAGCGGGGTAGATTTAGTAAAGACTGAAAAGACCTAACCTGGTCAAAAGCCACTAATCTTTCCACCTGGCCCCTTCTCCCTCTGATCCAGGTCAAGCAAGTACTATTTATTTATCAAATGGAGTACTACTGTGAACAAGGAGAATCTCATTGATTTTTCATTTTTTTTCCAAGGTTGAATCAAAGCTAATGCATCAATGCCTGGCCTCCTTGCAACCCAGCTGCATGTTTAAGAAAGGATTACAGATTATTTAACATTGTAAAAAAAACTCTCTTTCTGTACTTTGAAAGGCTACAGGCTCATGTATCACTGTCAAAGATTGCAGGAACAACTTCATTCAAACTTCTGTGCCACTTTATAAGAGGCTGCAGCTGTTGTGCAAGAACTCAGCCAACTAATCAAAGTGACAATGACAAGTTGAATAAAACTTTCATGCCCTTTGTGATGAAATAGAATACACAAAATTATACATGACAACAAAGGCCTGTTGTGTTTTCACATCATCCTCACATCTAACAAGACATGTGACTATGTGCCATTATACCATGTAATGTCTTAAAGAAATTAAATCAAATCAAAGTGTACCTGAGCGAAGCTGTTTGATGCGCCCGTTGCTGCTGCTGATGTCCACAGGAAGCATGTCCTTGAACCAGGAGATCTCTGGGTCCGGGTTTCCGCTGGCTGCACACAGCATGGTGGCAGTTCTGGTCTTTTCAACCACCTTAAGCTGGGGACCCATATCAATGGTAGGGAAGCCATGGGGGACCTGGTGTTCTGAAAATTTGGAAAAGGAAGATTTTTATTATAGCCACAGACACTGAGAGAGAAAAAATAGGATGAAATAAACAAGAAGAGGGGAAAACGTGCACAAAAAGAGAGTTGAGTGAGCATTGAGTGCATCAAAGCTGTTGAGCTGCCGAGGAGAGACAAGAGGAAGAACCAAATATATCTCAGGTGCTACAGGCCAAACAGTAATCACTACACATACAAAGAGGCAAAAAAATTAGTCTAAGAGCAGAAGATACTATTGGGGAGTGGCAGATCTTATGCTGATTTGGATCCCAAATTTAGTTGTAAAAAAACTCTGACTCTGATTGATTATCATTGCAGGCGTATTACCCGGCATGGGGAGTCTCAGGTTTAGACAGAAGGAGGATAACTGCAATCTGCTGCTGGGCATCCATGCATAAATGAGTTGCCTGAGGCTTAGTGAACAAATCAAACCTATCTGAATAATCCAACTCAGCATAATTAATGTAACAGCATATCCATGACAGCCCATAAACCATAGTCCTTAAAACAGAATTTCAGATGCTACAATGGGTGATTGTTATTGTAATATACACATACGATTAGCTAAATATGGACAACATATAGTCAATAGTAGAATATTACCAAAAAGTGATACATCCCAGCATAACATCCCTGCCACTTACAATGTGTGTTTCTATTGCAGAAAACTTGCAGTTTAGTCATAAGAGTAAATTAAGTATTTACGTTTGTTATAATGGCTTTACAATGCACAATTAATCTTTTAAATGAAACATAAAGTTGCATTTGTATGGATTAACTGTGCTGACAAATCAAAATCAAACTCTCCAGCCTCACCCTCCTAATAAATCCCAATTCAACCTCTGGACAGCGATAATAAAGAGGAAACAGGATGGCCCTTGAGAGGGCTTGTTATCAGCTTGCTCTCAAACCTGTAATCTCTTTTATCTTTCTCCTCACATGTAGATGTGCCCTTGGGGCCAAAGAGTTAAGATGAAATGGGTGCTAATGGCTGTAAATCCTGCTTCTGGCTCAGTATGAAAGGATACCTAACTACAGGTTAACAATAAGTGAAGGGCAGTTCAAGAAGGTTAAACAACATTTATATAAAACCGAGATTTGGATAATTAGGAAATGTCACATTGAAATGTAATTACAATGTCACAAAAGTAAAAGTGAATGGCAGTAACAAAATGGTGCACTAAAAGGAATAAATGATGACCTAAAATTAAAATTATATTCAAGAACATTTTGTCAAGATAGGTGAGGAGAACATTAAGACAGAAACTTCCACCAAGATGTCATGGAGCAAAGTATTTCATCTCCAGCTACCTCACTGGAATGGACACCTACACAGACAATGAGTGTAAATGTATGCATTTATGATGAGAAGGAGAACAGTGCTTTAAAACAAACAGCCAGCGTTTTCTGGAAACATCCCCAGAGAACTAGAGAAAAAATAAACAACATCTATAAGGACTGTCTATTGTGAGCATTACCAGAAGTGATACAAGGCTGTCTCACATTAGTCATCAGTTATGAGACACTATCATTGCATACAATGGTCTCTTGCTAGTAGGATTGCCTAAAGACTAAGTATCTGTTTACATAAGCCCCACAAAATACCAATTTTAAAAAGTTACTACTGATCCATTCATCTCCCTCCCCCCTGCTCAGAGTCAAAAAATCCAGATGAAAACCTATATGGCTGGAGCATGAATGGGGCATGGGTGTTGTTCTTTGTTCTGATCTCCAGCAGAGCAGTTGTTCTGCTTTTCACCCTTGTGTCTGGCCTGTAGCCTGGATCGTCTCATTTTCTCATGCAGTTGACAGATCTGCGTGGCTTCTTATCTGTGTGGTACGGCTTACTTCCTGTCTAACAATATGGGATTTGTTTTCAGACATCCCAAATGAAATCAGGATGCCTGTACAAAGCGGACAACTACAGCACAACGAAATAATACTGTATAATCGTCCTGTGTTCCTCTGTGGTTCGCTCTGTCTAACCTTCAAAGAGAAGGACTAGAAAAAATGTAGAAAGAGAAATGGAGGAAACAAAATAATGATAGAAAAATGTGGCATCCATATAAATCCACTGATTAAGAATGGATCCATAGCCTCGAGCTGATCTTCAATCAAGCACGGATATAAAATAAATTCTGTATATTTAAGTCTATCACCCAGTGTCGCACTGATTCCCAACATTCATGCATGTTGTTTGTACATGTAACATATGACTGGTTCAAATCACTCCATTCCTGAGGCAGAGAATGGTGTAGCTTCCCCTCTAGGTCTGTATATGGTGGAAGCTAACCAGTCCGTTGAGGCATGACACTTATCCCAGGGACTGTACAGGGGAGGACTAAGAAGTCTGTTTGCTGTGAATTTCAGTAGATTTGATGTACTTCTCCCAGAACATACCTACATCAACTTTCACGCTTGTTACATACAGGTGGCCGCTGAATGGAGTGTGTTGCCTTTCTGGAACTAGGGGAGGCGTTTTAAGCAGCAATGTTTTGTGGAACTATGCCTGTCACTGAAGAAACTGACATATCAGCATAGGCTATTTCCCACCACTCTTGTATAGCAGCCTGCAGAATATTTATGATTATTATTATTGGCAAATGTTCCCGGGCTGTGAAAAATGCAAACCACTGATAAAACAGGGTGAAAGACCCCCAAGGAGTCATCAGAAAGCACAAACAGGGAGGAATGCAAAGGGCAAACAGCTGCTGAAAAGCTTATACATGAATCTAATCCCCTTTCTTTTTAATGTTTGCCTTACAGTTGACCGGTTATTACGATTGGTGGTAGTTTTTTCACAGTATGTCTAATTAGAACCGTGGCTTCACTTGGTGTATCATTTCTAACGTTGACTGAAAGCGTGGCTAAGCTACACATACATTAAATGTTATACATATGCAAGAGGCAGGATGCTGCTTGTCTTCAGTTGTACAGAAATGAAAAAAAAAAAACATTTCCTGGCCAATTTAAACTGTTCTTGTAGAAGCAAAAGGTCAGAAAAACCTCACATGGTCTGTTCAAAATGTCACATTAAAAGCAGAGATAATAAATGTCTGTAACACAAGGATTTGAGCTGGACTTAAAATGTTTTTGGTTTTTAAGTTTTGTCCTTTAGAAAAAAGGGCAAAACATCACTTCTTTTGCTGAACTTTTAGTTTTATGTCCCAGCATGCCATGGCGCTCTCAAAAGTTACTCCAAAGATTGGCACTGATTGACTCTTCGACATGCAGGCGCCTCGCATTTTGAAACATCCTGCCTTAGAAGGCGATTTTTGCTCAGTAACTGTGATTCGACTATTTAAAAAATTTATTTTTAAAGTTCTCTTATGTCAACTTGTATGATTCTAAAAATGCCCTGAAACAAATAGTTAAGGTGATTAACTTTCTACATTTCAAAATGGTCATAAAAAACTTTGTAAGTTTTGAAAATCTCTTGACAAAGGTTAAAATGTTAACATAATGCTTGGTAAGAAAAGGGCAGTCCACAATTGACATGGCTTTCTAAAGTTGTCTATGTCCTTGTCTTTTGGTCAAAAAAAAGAATGATTGAAAGCTCTTCCTATACACTTATCAAAGATCTTGTCAAACTACTGGGAGATTTAAGCCCCGTCTGTCTCTTCCTACTACTGCAGCTCTTGCTGCTGGCCTTGTCTGTCAGCTCCTGTCACACTGGAAGACAAAGACATGCCTTTGTTCAGTCCTCTTTAATTTGAAGGGGAAAAAGAAGGGATGGGGAAATTTGGAGGGAATCCAATGAAATAGTGTAGGCAATGCAGGTTGATGTTTGTCTACATAGAGGGCATTTTTTGATAAAAAAGCCCTTTAGCAAAGGAGTGTAATTTATCAAAAAAGCTCAACTCCTATATAAAATCTACAGCCCAGGCAGGAAAATATGAGCAAGGAAAAAATTTTGCGATAATGTCACACAGGTGCTCCATTACTAAGATTAACACTGCTGTAGCAAAAAAAAGTCATGTGTGACACTTTTACGGAGATTAATGCGTCTCAGGCTAGTCAGTCATTAGTTCATTTATTCTGCATGTATGCAGACTAAACAATCTGAAATTAAGCATGCAAACCATTTTCCTGCTACTGATCTAACAATGTAGTAAAGTAGCAGTGTTGTCTCATAATGAGGTCCAATCCGTCTTAATCCGATGGTTTTTAACGGGATTCTGTTTTGGTTATGAAGTACTTCTGTGGTACAGGTGTTGCAACAAAAACCTGCAGAAATGCCCTGGATTTGCAAAGGCCAGAGGAGTCAGGGGTAAAGTATGAACTGGTTCCTCAGTGATCTGAAAAATAAACAGGACCATTGTTCCCTCAACAGTCATTTATCACGCACAGTAATACTGCAACATGAGCAGCTTAGCAGAAGAACTTGTTTACAGTGGTTACAGCAGTGCGGTAGAAAAGAGAGTGCATAAAGGAAAGTCTTAATGTGGTTTTCTGATTATACTACTCAATTAGGATAACAGTGGGGGCTTCAAATACACAGAAAAGACATGGGGAAACACTGGCAACATCATTTGTAAAGGGAAAAGACACTAGTAATATGGTAATTAGTGAATTTAAGAAAACATAATAGAATAATCATAAACTACTGTATCAAGGAGGTGTGCCTCTGCTGTAACAACCACAGGCGGGTGAGGTGAGGTTCAGATGATCGAAGAGAGAGGAAAAAGGAGAAAGAAGATAGGAGGAGAAGAGGAGGGGGCAGGGGAAGGGTGCATGCCAACCTCCTGCCAGCTCCAATTACCAGTGTGAGTGGAGCGTGGCAGCTAGGGCGATGGGTCTAATCAGAGCCCTGCTGAAAGAGACCCGTCCCTGTCCTCCTGTCCCACTGGGAGGCTGCTGGAGCTCAATCCCACACTGAACTTCAGCCAGCGTTTTTCCCTCAACCCAAACACACACATCTCATTGGGGGAAAACATTCCAGACACCCCCGTTTCTTCGTAACAGGGGAGCCTTGACATAGT